GGAAAAAATCTGCCAACGCTAGTCCATACATATAAAAATATGTATGTATGTATGTATGTATGTACCTTAAACTGCATCACCAAAAACAAGTTTCGGGGTTTCCGCCGGGATTTAAAATGTATTATATTTGAAGACTTGCACCAAAATATTTCGTGATAATATTAAAATTTACGAAAAATGTTTGATGCCGGTTTTTTAACTTTTTTCAAACACTAGTTTAAGAAAAATTTTAATAACTGAGTTTTTTCGAATAAAAAAAGTTTTTTTAAAATAGTTTTTTTTTTAATAGTTTTTTTTTTAATACAAATAGTGTTTTAAATGGCAAACCTCCGGATGTGTTTCTGACAAGGAAAACAGCTTCTCATAAAAATACAATCGCTTTTCGGAGTTTGCGTAAAATGTAGGCTCCCTCTTTGTAATTGTAATTAAGAAATGGTGCCGATCAAGTGCTGAACTATTCTCGAACTAGCCCCGAACTAGTCTCGAAATTGGACGGTAAAAGTCCCGAACTAGCAGTGTTGCCCATTTGTACTACTTCTGAATTCGTCTTGGTTTACACGTGCCGGTTTACGCTAATTTTGCCCTTAACGGGAGCAAAGATGTTTACACATCAAAAATGTATATTAATGTCAATTTTTTATATCCCTTGAATAAAGCTTTTTCCTTCTTTAAAATTTGCAAATTTGTTTGTTTTTCCCAGAATTCTGTAACTAGGCATAAAAACGATTTCGTTGTTCTTGGAAACGGTGCATTTTTAATTTGTCTTGCTTCCAATATCAGAATGTAATGTTTATTACCTAATAAGGTAGATTTAGCAACTTTTCACTCTAAGCTGGCTTAAAGGCTTTATTCCCATTATTTATTTTTTAAATGTTTTTCTGATTTATTTTTTCTCTGCAGGTTTACTATTTATGTATATACACATGTATGTATCTATAAAATTTCTTTTATTATTGTATGCAGTTTTTTTGCTCTAAATATTTCAGGGTTTGTTATCTTTGTTAAGAAAACTACGCCCCAGCCCTGACAAAGAAGCCAGAATACTGTTACTTGGCCTAGATAATGCTGGCAAGACGACAATTCTGAAGCAATTGGCATCTGAAGAAATTTCAACGGTAAATTTTGTTTTGTATTAACTATTTAACGAATGATAACATTTCGATTGCAATAAGTGTGTTTGTGAACTGTTAGTGAATAATATATGTACGTGCGTACATACATATGTATGTTAACTCGTTGGCCACAGGTAACGCCAACAGCTGGTTTCAACATAAAATCCGTGGCAGCCGATGGCTTCAAGCTCAATGTCTGGGACATTGGCGGTCAGTGGAAAATACGGCCTTACTGGAAAAACTACTTTGCCAACACGGATGTATTGGTAAAAACAAATATAATAATAAACTAGTTAAAAGAAGAAATAAAAAATCAACATTTTCCACTTTTTTCGCATAGATTTACGTAATTGATTGCACCGATCGTGAACGCTTATCCGAAACTGGCCGCGAGCTCTTCGAACTACTTATGGACAATCGTCTGAAGCAGGTGCCATTGTTGGTGTTCGCCAACAAACAGGATCTACCAAATGCGCTTACCGCATCTGAGGTAGCCGAAGCGGTGCAATTAGTGCGTTTAGAAGAGCGCACCTGGCAGATAATAGGCTGTTCAGCCGTCGACGGCACTGGCATCAAAGTGAGTAGCATGCAAGAATGCAAACGAAATACGTATGTGCATGCGAGTATACTTACATATATGCGTATACGGAAAGTTTACATTGCATTGTTTTTTACCATTACAGGATGGCATGGATTGGGTCTGCAAGAACATGAAGAAATGAACAACTTCATTTCGTTTATATGTAGTAGTATGATGTACATAGCATGTATGTATGTACATACTAAGTAATATGTATGTAAGGCTATGTACTAGCTTTTGAACAAAGAAAAAGTACAGTAATCAATGGAATTTTTAATGTAGATTCTTCTAAATATGTATAAGTATTTTAGAAAGTAGATATGTATCTGCGCGTGCAGCTCATAATTTAATAAAATTTATTTGGTTTTACTCATAGGCCATTCATAATAGAAATGACTCATTACTGATTACAAAAAAACAAAACACGTGAAACTCTTTTATCAAACTAAACTGAATAGTTGTAGTGGTTGAATAGTTCTAAAAACTAAAAACATTGGCTCATAAATAATGAAATATCCTCTTCGTGGCAGGCAGAGCATATGGGGTTGTCAACTATAGCGATCACAGACAGAATGGCCAGATAGATAGAGATATAAATGGAGTAAGCACTGGTACCAATAGGCCTTTTGTGCCCTCATCAAAACCCTGCATATAGCCGTATACACTCTATAAATTTTTGAATAGATCCCGGGGGTAGGGAGTGTATATGATCTTCTCTTGACCATAGATATTCTGTGCACCTCTCTTTTCTCCGTGAAATGGACTCAGACTCCAGGAGGAGTAGGAACAGCAATACAGATCGCTTGACCAGATCCATAGCTTATGCATGTAGCCTCTTAACCTGCAATGTCCAGTCGAAATACCTATAATCATTTGTAGATAGTAGCCCCCTAGTAAGCTCTAAGCCTTACGAATACCCATGGTGTTTCAGCAATGCAGTTATCTCTGGTATCTGGTATTTTGCTTTCCGAGCGTTTCCTTTATCGTCTTAAATAGTACATACCACAAGGAAGAGATCAGGTCCTATTGGGATCAGGTAGCAGCCATTCTGGCTAACTGATCAGCTTCCTCATTTCGTTCGGTTCGACTCCCTTGTGCCCTGGTGTCCATATATGTACGTTAGATAGCATTGTCCTCAGCAAGAGCATTTAGCTTCACTATGCACTCCATAGCCAATGAATACTTGACATCGAAGAATTAGAGAGCCATAAGTGATGCCTGACTATCACTTAGTATAAGGATCCTTTCACTTCGACGACTTCTACAAAGATTAATCTCTGCGCACAGACTAATAACATCAACTTCCGCTTGGAAGATGCTTGGAAAGGTTACCAAGTGCACTGAAAGCTTCAGTCTAGTGCCATATACACCTGCCTTAATACGCCCAGAGCCATATCAGCATACCACCTTTTTGCAAGATTAAGTACTCTTTTAACCATTTCGCAGAGGGTAGCAGCGGACGCCATTTTTGAGAGTATCTTCAGGAGTTCGTCCACAACTAGACTCCACAGTAGAGGAGCATAACCTTTTGTTATCATAGACTTCGGTTTCAACAATCCTGGTATATAGTAGCCTAGCTATTTGTCTACGAATTAGAGGCTGCATATTGCGTTTCTCAAGTAGCCTCGATGGCCAAAACACCTCGCAACAGATGCATAGCTGATAATGGGTTCTATCACAGGAGTCGAAATCCATAGGATTCTGCTAGGCGGTATGCTCCAGTGTTATTGTCAAAGATCCTGCTGTTAAGGCTTTGGAGGTATTTCGTTTAATGTGAAACCTCCATAAAAGTTGTCCGTCTAGGATGATAGCACCAAAATTATTGAAATGTAGTAGTAGTAGGCGGAAGAAGATCGTTAAACTTTATCCTTTAAGTAAAGAGCACATAACTAGTCGGTGGACAGCCCATGGAAAGAGATAGATAGATAGTTGAATAAAGCACAGCATCCAGTAGGTCTATTGTGCCCATTCTGCGTATACGAATTACCAACAATATTTTATGTTATTTGCGCTTTTCTGTAAACAAATGAGTGAGAAAAGCTTATAATATGTAGGCATGTAGCTTAAATTAATCCCTTAAAGTTATTTATTGTTAACCTTACCAACCTAGGGGATAAAAGTGACGTCAACTGAACTCCATGATTGTGTTCTGTAAGCAAGTCAAAACAAATTCTCAGCACTTTCTTTGAGCACAGCCTCCGCAAAATGCCTCCGTAAACTAAACATCAAGTCTCTTGTAAGCTATAGAGATTAGTATTCAGGTCTGCCTGTGTGTCAACCCACGAAATTAAATGCAAAAACAGAATAGCAAAACTGAGCGATATGATAATTCAAATGTTAGTTACCTTTAAAATAAGCAGTTACGTAACCATAAAGTCAAAAGAATTGTTAAAATTTACATATGAATAATTTATATTTTCTTAATATTTAGCGGCTAAACATTTATTTAAAGTACGTTTAAAAACTAGCTAATATTAACTATAATTATGCAGCCACAATCAATTTGCATTCCTATCGCAGCTTTGTAGATCAACATCACATCCACAGCTTCCTTTTTTGTTGTTGTTGTAAACTTCACCTTTCCATCGCATCCATTTACAACTCATTGTGTACATATTCAGTGGTGACTTTAGCTTCGCCCTCATGGAAACCACTGCAATCGACTGGATATTTGACCTAAAATCGAATGGAAAAAGAAAGAACCACGTAATACACACATATTGACACACATATTGACACATTAGCAAGCAAGTGAAAGGCAAACATTTAAACGTATGTATGTAATCGTTATCAAAATTGTTTAACTAACTCAATAAAAAAAACCCGAAACTATGTCGCATCGCATTCTGCGAATAAAGCGAAGACGCTGCTAACTTTGCCGTATGCTTATTTATTAATTCGATGTGCTTACCTCACAGTTGTGTGGCGCATTTATCACACCAAACAATGTCCAGAACGGTGTGCCAGTTTCGGTGCTAATGAATATAGCGGCTCCCATGCTGCCGATTTTCACAATCTTCAGACTGACACCTGAAATCAGGCCACGCGCATTGCTGCCAACTGCATTTTGCTCGGGCGAATTTAGTTCACAGAATACGTAACGGTCACATTGTGGCGATTTCAAGATAAATCTGTAGGCGCGATGTACTTTGAGAACGGGCTCGATGACCTGCAGGACGACGCATAAATACATATTTATGTAGTAGTAAATAAAAAAAGTACCTACTTATTTTCAGAATGACTACAATAGGTGTAATATTTGTTATAAAAATTTCCCAGGCTTTTTTAGAATATTTCAAATTACATTAAAATTAATTTTAAGGTGAATGACACAAAAGCACATGGTTCCGGGGACTTGACCATAATCAGTCCCTTGCAAAAGTATTTTTGCATTGATTTTTTTTTATGATTTTCAAAATATTTTTCATAGTAAATTTTTGTCGTTAATTTTGTAATTGTAAATCAAAAATTCAAACTTAGGATCACTTTGCACAAAATTAAATTAACTTCAGCGAATTTTCAACAAAATTCCAAACATTTTAATCATAATGTACGAATTTTATAGTATAGAAGAAAATACACAACAACGTCAGCAAAAAAAAA